ACCATGACATGGAGGAGCACAGATCTCACCACAGCTCAAGGAATCACTGTGACCTGGTGATGTGCTGCTGTGTGACAGCCTTCCCACTGCCTGGGCCATCCTGGCTGCAGTGTCACAATTCCTCAGAGCTTTGCCCTTGTCCTCTGCGTCAGCATCAGTCACTTGGTGAGAACTGCTGAAGACAGCTTCTGCTCCCAGCCAGGTGCTGTCCTCTGCCAGCAGCATCGCACTCTCAGGACAGCATTTGCAGAAGGACAAATCCCCCTTTCTCCAACTTCAGTGCTCAGTTTTCTGCTCGTTGGGTCTTTGTAACCTTTCAGCTGCTCTGTGCTGGGTTGCGATGGAGATGGAGCAGTCCCCACTGGAACAGAAAGAAGTGGAAATCGAGGCAGAGATGGATGGCCAGGAGCAGCTCCTTGCTGGGGGCTCTCCCCACCCTCTCTCTTATTTTTTTCCCCCTTAGCACCGACTGCAGCTTATCTCAAGCTGCTAATACCAAAACCTGCTCTGTGATGCTAATATCTCAGGCGGACTAAGCCGCAGTTCAAGAGGAGATTAAATGATGCAGGGTGGAAAGACAGCCTGTCTTGCTTTTTGTTTTTTCCTTTCTGAAGGAGTTCAGACAGCTTAGGAGTCTTCTGGATGACAGCAGATGTATGGAAATGATTCCTGGTGCTTATGCAGAGCAGGGTTGTTTGGGCAGGGACAGATGGGATTGAGGAGGGCAAAGCTTTCCAGTGTAGCTTACCCTGCTTTATTCCAGGTGTGCTGGAGCAGCTGCCAACTCCTTCCTTGTCCTCTTTAATATGGAGTTAGCTACACCTTGAAAAGATCCCAGGGCACTGCAATGGCACCAGGTGTTGTTTCTTCTGTCCCTCCCCAGCAGCACCACTGCTCTCCTTTTAGCAGCTGCAGTTGCTGACATCCATGCCTGGAGTTGTGCTCACTAAGCCTCAGTGATGCTTTGATGAGCTGTGCAAATATTATTTTTACATTAGGTGTGATTTAGTTGTATTAAACAACATTATTGCTTCATTGTTGCTGTGTGCATGTTCCCTCTTGCTCTGTGCTGGGGATGGCATCCCCTGAATTGATTTGCTTTGTGGGCATTCAGAAGTGAGCATTCAGAAGGCTCTCTGAGCTGGTTTCTGTTTTAAATCCTAATAACACTAATTAGGGTGGGGGGATCCTGAACTGTCCCATGATTGCCTGGTTGTTGCAAACTTTTCTGTGGTATCTGGTGTAGGAAAACCCGAAACTCGGAGTGGCTGTAATGTGTGTGATGTTTTGAACATGCTGTGCCGGGTTCTGCTCTGATGTCACCTGTGAGGATGCAAACCCACAGCATATGGAGAAGTCTTCCACTGCCCATCAGGGATATAGTGGTTTTTCTGTCAGTTTTGAGACTGCTGTGTAACGTTTAACAAAGTGCTTTGGGATATAAAATGGTGCAGGGTGGTAATGAGAGCAGGCAGAAGGAGTGTGATGTTTGACTGTCTCCATTGCCCTGGTGTTGGCATTGCTCTGGGAGTATTAACACTAGGAAGGGGCAGAGCAGAGAGGAGCAATGGTGCACAGAGGACCATACTGTGAGCTATGATAGAGGCGATCTTTATGCCTGCGTTATCCTGAGCATGCAGGAGTGGTGCAGCCCTGTGCTCCGGGGGCTTTGTAGCTGGGGAGCCTCGTTCTCTGCCCGTATTGCTGGCAGCTGCCTGGCCCACTGGCTCCCTGTGTGCAAAGCCTTGCGCTGGCACACTGCCCTGCTGTTCTGAGCAGCCCAGCTCTCGTTCATTGACTGGGTAGGATTACAGGAACTGGGAGAAATGCAGGAATCAGGCTGCATTGGCTACCAAACGTATTTGAGCTGCTAGCAGCTGTTTGCTGCTTCCCCTTTTGGGTTCACCCTCAGGCAAAACCTTGGTACCAGGCTCCAGGGCACAGTGGGATGTCCTGCATGTTCCCCCTTTTTCCCCTTGCTGATCAATTTCCCTTTCTTCTGAAGTGGGATGTAACTGGAAGGATTGGCATCAGGGTTGGATGTGCATGGAAGAGCTGGGAAATGGCTGCTCTGTGGGTTGGGTGTGCTGCAGAGGAGCAGGTCTCAAGCTGGCAGGGGATGCAGAAAGCTTGCTGCAGTAAAACAGGCCGTGGGCTTACCTGTGTGGGTGAGATGCAGTGTCTTCATGAGGGCACAGCTTTAGTGGAACCAGTGTATCCATCTGAGGTTCGGTTTTGGAGGCTTACCATCACAGCACTTCCAAGTAGTGCAAAAGGCTTTGGGGTGACTTGGGATGGGATGGGGTGCAATGAGTGTAGACTCTGCTCATGGAAAGTCCTGATCAGAAGGTTTTTCCTGCTACAAATCCCACAGTCTGGTTTAACCAGAACTTGAGGGTCTCTTAAAGAAATCTAAGTATGCTCACCCTAGCAGTCCCTAGCTGTCTTCCTGCAGGTAGCAGCAGAGTCCAGCATCCGATTGTGTCTGCAGCACTGCAACATCTGGAGCAAGGGAAGAAGCCATCAGTCAGGAGTTGGAGCCAATGAGAGCTCTACTTCTTCCTTCTCCAAGCTGCAAGGAACACAAAAGCCCATTTTCTCTTGCATCAAACTCCATCTGCTGCAGGCTGGAATTACTCAGCCTGAGATGTCCTGGCAGAACCAGGCAAGTGGCACAGGGTTGTGCCTGTGTCAAAACCCTCAGCCTGGAGCAGTTGTGCAGGAAGGTATCTGAGGTTCAATGGGGGGCTCAGGTATCCTCCATAGCTCGAGGGCTCCTCACCTTCCCCAGGGACATGGAAGGAGCCAAGTGGCTGTAGACACGTCTGCTGGTGCCTGTGTTCCTCATAGTGAGGCTCCTGCATACCTTCCCCAAGACCACAGCGGAGCTGCAAAGCACTTCCTTTTACCAAGATATTTATTACTGAATATATGAACCTGGGAGCCTGCAGAGCGTGAAATTAGGAACAAATGTAAAAAGGAGGTCTAGACAGGAATTGTTCTGCTTATGGGCTTTTTTTCCCCCCCTCCCTCCTTCGCACGCTGGAGAGTTTAATGCTTCCAGGTACATGGTTTTAAGCAGACAAGTATGTTACGGGAGGAGAAATAGTGTGATGCAAATGGCTTTGCTCTGAGCAGGGCAGTGGCTGTCATGCCATGCATGGCTGACCACAGGGCACTGGGGGTTGGGTGGGAGGAATGCAGAGAAAATTGCTGCGTGCTCCCCCTTGCTTGCCCCTGGGACGTGCAACCCTTTAATTCATGGTGAGCAAATGGGAGCAGCAAAGGTCACAGGGTTGGAGCACTGATGCTTCCACATCACTGCTGCAATTTTGGAAGGCTTGTTGTCTCCCTGCTCTAAACCCCCACAGGGTTTTTGTCCCAGGGCAGAAGTAGGGCAGGATTTGGCAGGGCTCTTATCCTCTGGCCCTACAAGAAGCTCTCGGCCATTACACAGCAGCACAAATTCCCTGCTCTTTCAGCTCTGCTCAGCAGCAGCATAAAATGTGATACTGCTTTATCCATTCAGTACTTACCCAACTTTAGCAGGACATTAAGCACCTGAAAATATGCCACAGATTTATTTTCTTTGGAAGCAAGTTAAATCCCTGACAGATACAGTTGCTTTTCCTCAGGTGCTGAAGTAATTTGGGTTTGGGGAAGCTGGTTTTTTGGTTTAACCTGATATCATGAGCTGGAGGCCAGCTTTGTTAAAGCACTTGTCGGGTAGGTGGTCACAGTTTGCTCTCTCTGTCAATTTATGTCATTTATCCCAATCCCAGACTGATGCCTGCAGCTCTTGGGCTGTGGAGTGATGCTGCTGTAAGGAGGGATGTGTTACAGCTGTGGCTGTCCCCATTATCCCCCCTGGGTAAAGAGTTTGGCATTATTCTGCACAGGATGGTGGGAATTTCAAGTTTTTGGGATAGGGATGCTCAGAGCAAGCACTGCAGGGCTTGTGTTCATCTTGCACTGTGCATCTGCTCAGCTCAGGACATGGGGGCCTCATACTTTTGCCGTGTCTGTGCTAAAACCCCTGTGGATGCTTTAGGGGGAGGGAGATGCTACTCTCAGACATAGGGACTGCAATGTCCCTGTTGTGCTCTGGCCACAGCACTGGCTGCAATGCAGCTTTCAGAAGCCTCATGCCATGTACCATCATGCTCCCTTGATTTCATCTTGGCCACAGAAAAGCAAGGAGCCCACTGCACTGTGCGGCTTCATCCCATGCTGCTGCTTTGTGGGGGAGAAGAGTGCCTGGCCCTGCACTCGTTAAAGGCTCACTTAGCAGCTCCAGTTATTCCAAATTAAAATACCACATTGTTTTCATGAGGAAAATGGATTATAAGCTCAGAGAAAAAATGTGCATCGCTCCAATCCCCCACTTGCTGTGAAGCTCCAAGCAGGAGCCAGGCACGTGCCATGAGCAAGTCCCCATCCCCAACACAAAGCATGGGGTGTGAAAGGGGCTATGAGGCTCATGGTCAAACCCCATGCTGGCATCATGCAGGTTTTACTTCCCTAGACCCCCATTCTGCATGCAGAGTAACTTGGTGATGCCCAGACTGGTTGGCCAGGATGGGTTTTTCATTGCAGGACCATTTGTACAATTCCCATAGTGTCCCACTGCTGCTGCTCACTCCCTGCATCAACCTGCAGTTGCTGGAGCTCAATTACTCAGCCCACCTGCAGGCTGCAATAACACTTAGCAAAGTTCTTCTGGGCTTTTTCCATCCTCCTCCAGCTGTCAGGTGCCATTGGGAGGGGTTGGGAGCTCCCTTGATGGCTTTCACAGTACTGGCATCCAGCCGGATCCCCTGCAGGAGATGGGACAAACCCCTCTGCTTGCAGCATGCAGGCAGACCCAGTGGGAGCTCTCTGCAAACGGGGATGAAGTATCCCATCCCTTCCCAACTCATCCAATCCCATTCCAACCCTTCCCATCCAGTCCAATCCCATCTTCTCTTATCCTCCATCACCCCATGTGCTCTCTGTTGCAGGCTGTTAATGGAGAAGAGGGCGAATGACAGCCGGGACCGTGGTCATCACAGGTGGAATATTAGCAACTGTCATTTTACTTTGTATCATCGCTGTCCTCTGCTACTGTAGGCTCCAGGTAAGGCAGGGCGATGTGATGGAGGTGGGATAGGGTAAACCAATCCCATCTCCCACGCGTGGTGCGAGAGTGTTGGGATCCCAGCTGAGCCCCATCCCGTTCCAGTACTACTGCTGCAAGAAGGATGAATCCGAGGAGGATGAGGAGGAGCCCGACTTCGCCGTGCACTCCCACATCCCTCCGCTCCACTGCAACCGCAACGTAGTGCTGACCAACGGGCCGTCCCTCTACAGCTCCTCACCCTTCAGCAAGAAGGCAACGCCGAGTCGCAGCGGCTGCCCGGGCTGCGGGCAGTATGAGCCTCCAACCTTCTTCCTGCAGGAGCCGCCTGAGGAGCTGCACAACGGGGGGGACCGGGTCAGCTTCCAGACCGTCAGCCAGGAGGAGCTCGACCTGCCGGTGAGCGTGGGTAACCTGCAGGCTCTCAACCCCAACCGGCTCTCAGCCATGCGTGAAGCCTTCTCCCGCAGTCGCAGCATCAGCACCGACGTGTGAGCCTGGCACTGCATGGAGGACTTCTTATAATCCACCACAGTGTTTTAAAATAAAATTTAAAGGCAAAAAAAAAAAAAAAAAGTGGAGTTGGGGGTGGGGGGAAGGGGGAAAGAAAGTTGAATGTATTGCTGCAGTGGCAGGGATGAGTTAAACCTCAGTATAATGGAGAGGGAAGTGAGGGGGGCTTGATGGCAGCTGGGATGTGAGGTTTTCTAGTGCTGCGTTGCATTTCTTTTTTTTCTTTTATAAAGAGGATTTTGATATTGTGCATCCTTTTATACAGAGAAAATGCCCATCACCCACCAGTGGCTGGTGGGCTGAGATGGGAGGCTGCAAGGCGTCTCGAGCTGCAAGGCTGCTGTGCTGTAGGGATATGCAGCACCTGGGGGCTGCTGGCCCTGGTGTGCAAACACACACAGCCACCACCGTCCCCTGGCAAAGCTGGGCTGCTGCTGCCCATCCTTCTGCCACTGCTTTGTGCTGCAGCCAAGCACATCCCATCCCTGTCCTGCACCCTCTTGCTCCTCTCAGTGCTGTCCTAATGGGGCAGGAGCAGTGGGTGCAGATGGAGATGGGTTATCAATCAAGTTACTTAGGGCGAGGAAGGAGGAATGATTCCAGATGGAGGAAGGCACCCGCAGCTGCCCTCTCCAAATAATGAGCCTCCCCTCTCCAAATGATGCCATATGCTACTTCTAATCTAAGGAGCTGAGTGCTGGCAGAGCGAGAGTGCACCCATGTATGTGCACACACGCCCCTGCATGCACATTTCTACTTTAATTTTGAAGATTACCATAAGATTTACTTCCCATTATTCTTATTTTTTTTCAAATAGAAGCAGTCACAGCAGATCCTACCCAGCCAGGGACGTGGCAGAACACTTCATGCCCTCCTTGCTGTCCCCTGTGTACAATTTATCTTGCACAAAACCCTCTCGCCCCAGGTTGGGCTTTATTCAGGTTAAAAGCTTCACCCTGCGCTGGAGCAGGGCTTGCTGCTGCAGAGGAGGGGTGGCTACAAATCGACCCTAACAGCCTCAGTGCTGTGCTTGGGGCCAGGCTTTGTTTTTAGAGATGCAATGAGAAGGAAGCGCTGCTGTTCCATAGCCCTCAGCATACACACGCTGTGTGCAGCCCATCTGGAGATGTTGCTTTCAGCTGTGAGGGCTTTTAATTCCCCCAGGAAACCTTGCAAAGCACAAAGTCAGCCTCTGCAATCCAGTACCTTTGATAGTTTGGGGTTTCTGTTGGGGAATTGGGGCTTGGGTTTGGCCCCGTTGAATGGCAGCACAACCACGGCTGTACAGTGCTCACATCAGTTTGTTTGAATGCATTCAGCCTTTGAGTTCTTTGCCTTTCTTGTGAACATTTTCTTGTCCCAGCTTTCCCCCATTTCCTGTTCTATTTTTGGGGGGGTTTTTCCTTCCGTTGTAGCTTGGAAACTAAGCAAGTGATTGACATTCTCTAACCTTCACCTGGCAAACGGTTGTACAGGACTTGGGGAATCATTGAAGAAGAAGAAAGCAAAAAAATAAAACTACTTTGACACAGGCTTTGCTGCTGACCTTTGTGTATCCACGTTGTGAAATACAGAGGGCAGTGGTTGCAAAAGTGCCACAGGGGTGCAGGCTTTCCTCATTGTGAGATGCTCAGTGTATGAGAGATACAAGCCTGGGGGGATGCTCAGTAAGCCCTACCCACAAGGATACAGAACCATAACCACCTTCACATCGCCTTTTTTCACTCATTCCCCATCAAACCTCTTTGCATTCAGGCTCCTTTAGAAGCTCGCAGTCCCTACGTCTCTACACATCACCCCAAATCCCACAACAATAGGGCAGGAAGGACCCAACTCAGGGACTTTTTCTTACATCCAGAGCTAGGAGCTGCTGCACTCCCTGAGGAATTGGCCCAGCACACAGCAACAACCCTCCACTACACACTAGAGAATAAAGCCAGATACCACCATAAATATGACAACTTTATTAAAATATACATGGGTACAAATTAATGATTATGTGGATAAAGTTCACTGTCTGTAAACAAATATATTAAAAAAGAGCACGTCTTTTTTGTGATATAAAGTGCAGTAATGTTTCCATATTATATACAATATGTCAGCATTTGAGGGGGGGGAGGTTGTAAGGACTGTGGCACTAACATTTGGTTACAAGATAAAATCCTCTGAAAAAGTATACACCTCCATATTACAAAAGAGGGCTTGGGCTTGAGTTCATTTAGCAAATGAAAATCTGCTTCCCACTGTGTTAAATGTAAGAAAGCATTGAGGAGAAAGCAGGGAGGAGGCACTCACCCCCTCTGCTAGGGAACACACCGGTACTTTCACTCCCATGGGTCCGTGCCCACCCCCTACTTGCATAGGCAAAAAGAAACCAAAGGACGAGACCTTGTGAAACCAGTGAATGTCTGCTGTTGGGGGAAATCAAATATACACGATCGTATGTACAGCTCTGATAACCAATGTACAGCAGCTCTGAAAGCAAGCCGTGCCAGCAGAGCGAGGAAAGGAACATCCATCCCCAATGCTCACGAGCAGGGCTGCGGCCCCAGCCCTGCACTACGAGTGGGGGGTGCGGCAGGAGCGGCAGCAGGCTTTGCTGTAGTACCAGTGGCTGCACAGGTTCACTTTGATGGCCAAAGCGCAGTTGGTTCCTGCCTGGTCCTGGCAGCTGTCGTCTGTAAGGGAGAGAAGAAGAAATGGTTATGGAAAGAATAAAACAACGCCAACAATGCAAGTTCATACGATTCCCTTTGGCACCACACACAGCCCGATGTGTGGCTGTGCAAAACATCACCCCATCTGCCACCACCATGTCCCTATTACCAGGCAGAGCATCCCCTGGAAAAGCCATGTGCTTTCTCCAGGAATATCATCATCCAGCCAAGCCAAGGTTCACATTCCATCACACATGGCCTCGCTCGGTCCCACTCTGCAGCTCAGGCTCTTCCCTATGGAACAGGTTTGCCCAGAGATCACCAGAGCCACAGAGGGATACTGGACTGAGCTGTCCCTAAGCAGAGGGGCTGCCATGGGAGCACAGAGCACACAACTCCTGCCCAAAAATCCTACTTGAGGTATTTGGGGCAGATGAGCTGCTGGAGAGAAGGAAGAGAGCAAAAACCACCATAACACACATCCAGCCCCCTCCAGAGCAGTATTTTGCTTTAAGTCTGTATACAAGTTATAATTTTTGCATTGTATCCATAGGAAGCACAGCTTGCTCTAGGGGGGGGGAATGAAACCATCAGAGGACCCCAAATTCCCACACCACATCCCTGACCCACAGGCAAGGCAGAACTGTCAGCAAAGGCACCCGCTGAGCCAGGAGCTGCCCCAGGCCTGCCTGCTGTCTTCCTGCTCTTCTCCCACCTCAGCCTTATTCTCAAATCCTATTAAAGAATTAGAACCGTGTGTTTGCTAAAGATCACAGGGGCTTTGAGCCAGCAGACGAGTCAGATAATGAGATAGTTACAAATCCCGCAGGACATTCAGAGACCAAAAATCATTAAAATAATGGCACAGACGAAAAACTTCTTAGACATGAGCTGGAATCACACAGAAGCACCACTTGAGCTCCCTGCAGCTCCCTTTTTTCTTAAGGTCAGAGCACGTTGCTTGTGAGCTCTCCCCTTTATTTAATGGTCATGTATAGAGACACACAGTGGTACAGCACACAGTGCCATTACTGGGGCATAGAGAGGGCAGATCCTGAGATGACCATCAAGATAGCAGTGGAAAATGAAAGCTAAAGGTGTGCTGCTGAGGAGGGGGCTCACCTGGGGGCTCGGTGGGGCAGGGCTGCAGGTCACAGGTCTGCTTGCCCACTGGCTTCACCAGGGGGTCGCAGCCACGGACGATGTCCTTCCCCTGGTAGCACTTGACATCCCGCATCCTCACACCGATGCCGCAGGTTTTAGTGCACTAGGGAACAGAGAGGGGGGAGGGAACAGAGAGTGGGGTGAGGTGAGAACCCCCCAGCACAGGGGGCTGTGCAAGAAAAAACAACAACAAAAAACACACTGGAGCAGCTGGGGGCATGGGTGAGCACTGCCCCTCGCTGAGCACTGTGTCCACACACCGCACTGCTGGCCTCTCTCTGCCTCACTGCTGCCAGCAGCAGCAGACGTCTGCAGCAGCCTGACTGCTATCCATGGATGTGCTCCCACCCCTGGGGCTGCACTCCTCCCTCTTCCTGCTGCTCTCTGCAAAGAGCCACGGCTGAGCTGCGTGGCTCTGACACTGCTTATTGCCACCGGGGGGCTGTGACCCTATAGCTTATAGGGTGGGGGCACTGGGTTTGGTGTCTGTGTAATGTGTCTAGGGGGCTTTGCAGAGCAGCTCCTGGGCTGTGCTCGCTGCCTGCTGCCCTTTGGCCGCCTCTTCATGTGGGGATTACTGCAGGGTTTCTTGGGCTAATTATAGGCTGCCACGACAGTTTTCAAGACTAAACAAAATGAGCTCCAGGCGGACAAAAGGGGCTGCATTGGGGAGCTCTTGTGGGGAGCTGGGATCAGCTCTGCAGCTCCTTGCAGAACAGGGGCATCCCATGTCAGCCCAGCCTGCCCCCAGCATCACTCTCCAGCTTCCAGAGCCCCAGCTCTGCTCCCCACCTACCTGCAGGGCAACATCCATGTGCTGCTGGAAAAAGGTGGTGAAAAAGGAGGAAAAAAAAGAAAAAGAGGGAAAGAAAAAGCCAAAGCTAACCCCAAACAGCTCTTATTCCTGATCTGTACAATGAAGCAAGTCCTGTCTGCATTTTGTCAGAGCTGCTATAGCAAAACAAAGGGGCCCCACTCTGTGCTCCCTTGCAAAGCTTCAGCCAGCTCCATGGGGTATTTTGCAGGTGTGCAGCCTTTGGTACAAGGCCACGTGCTCAAAGAAAGCATCTTCCCAGAGCAACCCCCTGTACCCCCACCTACCTCTGACCACGGGGTGGTGTACCACTTGAAGCACGGCCGCTCGAAGCATGTCGTCTCCTCCACAGGCTTCTTGGCCACGTCGCAGTCAGTGGGGTTGTGAGTCTTGATCTTGCCATTGACAATCTCCAGGCAGAGCACAATCCTCTTCTTCACACCCCGGCCGCACGTGGTGTTGCACTGCAGGGTTCCCCACCATAAGCATCCTCCATTGCCACCGCCACGCATCGCCCCGTCCCCAGTCCTTACCCGCTCCCAGTCCTGTGCCAACCAGTGTGACGGGCAGTTCTTGTCCCCGCAGGGGTGGATGGCCAGAGGTTTTGTCTCCAGGTTGCACTGCGACTCTGGCACCACGCGCCCATCGCTGGTTTTGCAGTACACGTGTCGGATCATCCTGCCCTGTCCGCAGCCACCACTGCACTGAAACCACAGTGGGCACAGCAGGCGGTCACAGTGCAGTCCCAGCTCCACAGATAGGGAGCAACATGCCTGCATTCTCCCCACCCACCTCATCCAGGGACGCTCGGGGTTGCAGTAAGAAAGCAAATGCCCGCTTTGTTTCCTCTCATTGGGAGCCAAAGCATCCCCATCGCAGCAAAACTTAGCACAGGCAGAAAGGAAAGTGCCACAAACAGGGAAACATGGGTCAGTTTCAAAGAGTCTGAGTGAGGGGCTCTGGATGTCCCCCCTTTGCCTCCCTACAACTTGGGGGGAGCAGCAGCCACTCCAGCCGAGATGTGCGGAGCTTCACAGCACCGCTGCTGCCATGGAAACTGCTTATTTTTAGCCATAGGATAAAAGCTGGGTAAAAATAGCTTGGGACAGAAAGGGTCTCTGTAGCAGAAGTATGCAGGAAGGGAAAATGGGGTGAAAAGGAAAAAAGGGTCATCTTCTGGGTTCTGAGCATCAGTATTGCCAAGCTCAAGAACCCCAGGCCCACCAAACCGCAGCGCTGCCACGCACCCAAAGCCACAACAAGACCCAGGTGCGTCAGCCATCCCTTCCCAGGCTCACCGGTCCCCAATCAGACACGGTCCACTGGCGGTCGCAGGGCGGCCCTGTGCAGTTCTTCTCAGCCAGGGGTCGGGCGCTGGCATCACACAGCTTCTCCTCCTCCGAGCAGCGGATGTCCCGCGTCACCACGCTGCGCTCACCGCACCGCGCAGAGCACTGTTGGGGACAGAGGGGACACACAGGATGGGTACGGGGTGATGGGAGCTGGGAGATGCTTCTGAGGGTTTTGCATTTTTCGCCTGGAACTCTCTACAGATGCGTGATGAAACCACAGAGCTGAGATTTTCTTTTTTTTTTTTATCCTGCGGATAAATTTGGCACCGTGCAGCCCAGTGACATTATTTAGAACCGGGGTTGAGTTACTGCAGTCCCCCATGCACACGTTTGCTCTGTGCATGCTGTAAAGCAGGGAAGAGTGTCAACAGCACTCAGACACACTGTGCTGATATGTTAATCCTCAGATCTCCAAAACGTGCTTTTTTGGGGGCTTACTTCCCAAGCCAACTTGGCACCCAGCTTCAGATGCGATCCAAATTAGATTAGTTCTGCTGCTGGCTCAGAGTGAGCGGCTCCAGGGTTGTCTCAAGCAATCTGTCCCTGACACATGCTGAAGGTGTAGAGGGGTTCTGGTAAAATAAGCAGCTCTGGTTCTCTCTGCCAGTCAAAATATTGCAAGAACACGCGTGCAGGGAGCCTTGCTCTACTGGATTGAGAAAGTCAAAACATCCTGCAACAGCAGAAAGGAGCAACCCTCCACCAGCAGCATGATGGAAACGGCTCACCCAGCCTGAAGAGGGAAGGAGATGGGGAGTGATGACCAAGAATGGCTTTGGAAGGCTCTGGGAGGAAAGGGTTTCATTCATTCTGCACGAGTTTCATTCTTCTTGTAGTGTGGTGCAATGGGAGGTGAGCAAAAGGTGCTGATGGCAACCCTGTTTCCATGTCAACCCCATTCCTACTTCCCTGTGCACCAAAGGGGCAATGCACACCAGTCTCAGGGGCATATGTTATTAACCGGTGTGCATTGGTCCAAAGACAACCATCACTACCAAGGTCCTAGGAGGTTCCACTCCAATGGCCGGGGGTCATTCCAAAGCCCCAGAGCTTACCTCTGACCACTCAGACATCTCCCATTGTGGCCCACAGGCCGGGTTCTTGCAGACTTTGCGCTCGTCGGGCCGGGTGATGTCAGCTGACTCACAGAGGTCGCTGTAGACAGAGCTGTCAAAGCCTGGAGAGATCATCTTCCAGCAGCGCACGATGCGGAACTGGTAGCCCTCACCGCAGGTACGGGAGCACTCACTCCAGCTGCTTGTCTCCCACCTGTGGGAGAGCCAGAGAAAGGATGCAGTCAGCAGGAAGCTGGAGGGGTGCAGGCAGCCCTCAGGGTGCTACAATCAGCCTCCAGGAGGGGCTCAGCGCAGCACACTTGGAAGGGCCTCCTTCATTTCCCCCCATCCTGCTGCAGGCACAGAGCAGCTCCTCTCACTGCTCAGGCTTCGTGGAATGGGACCAGCCCTACTGCTCATCTCCGTGCTAGGAAATAATTGGGTTACTGCAAATGAAGAGTGAAATCCCCATAGTGTGTCCAGGATAAGGGAGCAGCACCATCCCCCTTCCCTGTGCTCTTCTTGCCTGCACTGCCACCTGATCTGGTTTTCAGTCTTAATGTGCAGAGCACAGTGAGATCTTACACCCCAAAAGGTACATACGTCCCCTCTTCCCTCCCCAGCACAGCTAGCCACACTCTGCCATCAACCAAGCTGGAAAACAAGCACTCTGCATTTTCACAAGGCTATACCCAGCCCCTGGTATCACCCCAGTCTTGCTTTGCACTGTGGATGAAGTTATTGCAGAGCATGCACCAGCTGCTCTACTTCTCTCTTTGCACTGCTCGTGGTCTGACACTGTCACAGCCCTCCCCTTCAACAGACACCAACCACTGCTGCTCTCTACAACAAGCACACCTCTGCTGTACTGGGGTGTGCACGTCACACATTTCCACTCAAGACTGCAATCCAAATCATCCTTTTTTTGGACAAAATGCTGCATCAGAAAGGATTCCAGCATACATTCCATCCCTGCCAACATCTCACACTTCACCCTGAGCACAGGCAAACCTCAGTCATGTTTAGGATGCTGAAGAGGGCACAGGGATGGGTCCCATACCTTGGCTGGCACTCTCTCCCAGCACAGAACTCATGGACAGGCTCAGGGCGGGTCATGGCATCACAGTACGTATCGTCCACTTCGATCCCATCATAGCGAACGCACATAGCATACGTGGACATCACTCCTAGTTTCAAAGAGAATACACATACAAAAAAACTTCTATGTTTTCAGCTACATTTTCCAAAGCTTCCTCCTGAAGGAAAGCAGCAAGCCAGTCCTTCTGCCCACATGGAGGATGCTGACCAGCAAGAGGACCACATGGCCACCAGAGCCAACCTAAGCAAGGACCGAGGCTGGAAGTAGGTCCAGCCATCGTGCTCAGCACCAGTAACAACAAACAACCATTGTGTTCACATAGAAAATGCTCAGGGTCTGCTGGGTGCTTCCCACTTCCAGGCTGGTGGATGTAGGTGAGATGGAAACAGCCCCCAAGCCATCCCAACCACTTTCATGTCAGCTCCAGACTGGCACAAAGAGAGACTGACTGTAGCCTAGCCTGGGGGACAGAATGTTATCCTAGTCTTTCTGTGGCTTTCGGGAACCAACAGGCTGCTCTGGCTGCAGGTAACTGCAGATGCAGCTCCCAGAAACATGATTTGCACGAAACTGAAGACAGACATGTACAGCTCCTGACATTGCATGGCTCCTCTGCAATATGTAATTAGGAAAAGGGAACAAGAAAAGCAAATTTTAAGTGAAACCTTCCCCTGCTAGCTGAAAACTGGGCATCCCTGGGATTGCAGTCTCCTCTTCTCCCCTTCCTTCTAATGCCAGAAGCCCCACAATGTCAGGATTATTCCTGAGATGACACTGGTGAGCAGTGTGGCACTGTGGGACAGAGCAGGGTCCTTCTCTTCACCCGGGGGCCAAAGAGGAGGGAAAGCAGTGCTCTGGAGACAAAAAGGGGGAATTTAAGGAGCAGGGCCAGGTTGGGGCAGGCATGTCACTGTTCCAGGCTCAGTGTCACAGCTGACATCAGGCACGGCAGCAGCAGGAGTGGGAAACCAAATGAAAAAGCCAAATGCTGCTTTGTTTCCAGCCAGAGCAGAATCTTTCTAATTCTGCTCTGTCAGAAAGAAGCTAAGCTTTTCAAAACCTTCTGGGCACTCAAGAGGGGAAGGGAAAGCAGAATGGATTTCAATCTGTTGCAGCTGCTCAGGTTGAAGGAGCCGAAACTCAGCACGAGCACCAGGACCCTGCAGGGCTGGTAAATGCTATGTGGGACTGAAAGATGGAGAAATCCCCTGTGCATCACCAGGTCCTTCCCATCCCTACCAGACACAGCGCGACTCACACGGCTGGGGCTGTTCTCGTAACTACCTGTGGTGCATGTAGAGCTGCAGGGTTCATGGGAGGAAAGCTTCCACCTGTACATGTCAGCAGCACTCACACCTTGGCCCTTTCTTAACAACTTCAATCTGTTTCTAGCAACAAGCACAAAAAAGAATAAAATAAAATAGTGTTTACAAGGAGAGCCGTGATATGCCACGTCAGAGAGACACATCTGCGAGCAGGTTGGGTTTGGGAGGGGATTGGCTTTGTTTGTCGGTTGGGTTTGGTTGCTCTGATTTTTGGGGTTTGTTGGTTTGAATTGTTTCATTTCGTTTCACAACATACCTGTCCTGAGCCCCAAGTAGAATCCCCAGCCCGGTTAGAGGCAGAGCTTCCACTGTCTAGAAATAGAGAGAATGGGATAAAAATACCCACAAGTAGAAACAGTTCAGAATTTCACAAAAGTTTGCATTTTCTGCTCAAATACACCTGGCCCTCGGCGTACAGCGGCTAAAGGCGCAGCATCTCCTCCCGGCGCTGCTGGGCTCGGGCTGCTCCCAGCTCCTGCCTCGGGGTCTCAGCAGCCTGACGCTTTGCTTTGGGACACGAAGGCATGCCGCTCGCCTACCTGCTGCCTCGGCCACTCTCGCTGGGTTGTTTTGGTTTGGATGCGCGATTCGCATCGCTCACGTTCACGCTACGGTCAAACGCGTAACGCCATTGGGGGGGAAAGGAGAACAGATTCAGCCTGGTGTGTGAAAAAGCAGCGTCAAACCAAGAACAACGGCTTCTCAGTGCGTCGTACATCCCGGAATGTTGTAACACGTCAGGGATACGGCACCTTCCCAACAGAAGGCTTCGGTCCTCAGACCTTTGTCCAGACCCTGGAGGTGCCTACGCTGATTGGAACAGGGGACAAGGCTGTATCCTGACATCCAGCTGTCTCTGGCCTGGCAAGATACGCAGCTTTATGATTTCTAGGCAGCAGAAGCTCTGGGATTGCCTTATTTAGTTGTTCGTAAGTTCATGTCCAGCCTATCCAATCCACTCTGACACTGAGAATCCAAACGTTCCCTTCCAGACCCACCCTCCTTCCAGCCATCCTCCAGGAGGATTGCACACAGTTCTCCTTCCCCCTGGTCATTTTGCCTCTTATTTTGGCACAACAGTCATTTCCTGCATACAAAAGGGAACTGAAACAAACGTGGCTATTTTTGCCCCCCCCTCCTCCCCACAAAATAACCGGCTTGACTTGCTATACATAGAGCTTCATCTTGTCAAGCAGCTCTGCCATAGCCAGCCCTGACACAGCCACCAGAACAGCGTTCAGAAGAGCCATGCGAACAGACATCTGGGTTTTATGTTGCAGTTTGCCTGGAAAAGGGGCTGGGACCTCACACCACTGCTCTAAGGCACCAATGCCAGCATCACGTTGCCCTGAGATTAAAGCATCCCTGCCCAGCTTCACAAGGGGAAAATAAAATAAGCATCTCAGGGCAGAAAGTCCATCAGCACTGCCCCTTTCATGTGATCCTAAAGGGCTTCTACATGTAATGAGGTCATAGGGATAAGTTCTTTCTGGATAAGCCAGACATTTGGTCACAGGTCAGTGCTCAGCTCTCATCATTTCCAGAAAGACAAAACATGTTTTTGCTCTCTAAATGCCAACGGCAGCACATCATCCTATAAACAACATGGCTGGGTTTTTCCTATTTATTAAAAGCATTGTGACTTTACTTCTGCTTTTCATGCAAGACTAGCACCAGGCCATTAGTGCCAGGTGTAGGTCAGCCCTTGCTGCTGCTTTCTAGTGAAACTCTTTTATGGGGCAGCAGAAACAAACACCCCTTTTGGCAGCAGCTGGGGCTCTGGCTGCCTGTCCTCCCATAGCCAGCCTGTAGCAGGAGGAGAAATCCTAATAAATGCAGCTGAAGAGGAGATAACTCCTGGAGGATGGCTCCTGGAGCACAACAAGCCCCTGGTGGAGGAACAGGTCTGGCCCCTGTGCTACTCCTTGCACACCTTGCTCCAGCACCCTGCCCCATGGCTGGTGGGATGGAGAGCAAGACCCCCCACTCTACTTTCACATTTTGTTTCCAACACACGCTTCACAGGGCAGCACAAGTTGCTAAGGGTCTTTCTGGATGGCTGGAGGGTGAGGCCTTGTGAAATAAAGCACTTTTTTTTTTTTTTTTTTTTGGATGATGCTCCCAAATTCAGAAATCTAACAGCTTTTTCAGCTGTTATCATTTAGATCTGAAAAATTCGTTTCATTCCAGAGAGCAGTGGGAAGAGGTAACACTGCAGAGCAGAGCCAAGGGAGGAATGGGAAGAAAAAGCACAATGCTTGGTACTTCCACTGAATGGCCTTAAATCCCTGAGCTGTGCCTCTGCACCTTTGATAGAGATGGTTGAGGATAATGGGGAGAAAGTTGTTGGTTTGCTTTGTTTAGCACAGGTATGGGCACTCAAGGCACTGACAGCCTATTGGGGGCCATCCTGCAACAGCCACGTTGCTGAGTCTCAAAGCACGCACAGTTCCTCCTGGGGAGGCTGGAAAGCATCAGCCACATTTAACAGCTCCTGGAACAGAGGCGTAGGTTACAGGGTGCTGCTCAAAGCCACCCAGGGAGGGTGCAGGGAGCAGGGCAGGCTCCTGCTGGCCCCGGAGAGCAGCACTGCAGGGAGCTGAGGCGCTGCCCTTGCTTGTCAGAGTGCTAACAAAGTGCTTGCTTTGGCAGCAGAGGCAGGGTTTCCAAGCCAAGCCACAAGAAGAGATGATAGACAAGCCCGTGGCAATGTGTAAGTGTTCTTATCATTAAGAAGTCTGTTGATATGTTTGGCTGCATGGACATTTTCTTTAGCATAAGCTAACATAAGTTCTAGATAAATACAGCTAACTATAACCAGAGAGCATTTGTGCAGTGCTTTTCATCTCCTGAAGTTCAGCATCCCAACCCATGTTTTAGCAGTGGGAATTGGGCAACAGAGCTGAAGTAGCACAGAAAGGAGCTGTGCGCTCAACCAAGACAGGAGGGACCCAAACCCATGGCTGTGCCTGTGAGACCTGGATAGCCCCCAGGGCCTTGTTTCAGCCCAAACTCTCTAGTGAATGCTCTCATCTGTGGCTTCATGCAAGGAGTGCTAATTGCTGCTCTGCCTTGTGCTGGGAACATGCTGCTGAGAGCCCTGGGGCACCTCAAGGTGTCCTCATGTCCATGCTGAGGAAATACTGTCCTTAGACTTTCACACAGCCTTGTCCAAATGAATTATGCTGCTAGAGACAGATCACACTTCTTTAAGCTTCCCCATTGCACTTTTGTAATGCTACCACTCAAAGCCAGACAAAGGAATCCTGAAGTGCCAGTTCTATTATCAACCACTTTAAGCTGCCAACTGAGTGCTTTTGATGTTCTTATCAGAGCAGTGATTAATTGCACTGTTTCTTCCTCCATTAAGGCAACAAACCCAGGCTATTTCTGTAGGCCCTGCACAAAAGCTCTTGTTCTGCTGTGCCTCTCCAGCAGCAGAGAAGCAGCAGGATCAGCCCAGGGGAGGAGGACCATGGGTGGCAGTCAATGGGCTGCATAGAAAGGGCCCAGGTTCAACTTCTGCTGCATCAAAATTAGGAGGAAGGTGCCCAGGGAAATCAGAGACATCAAGACAAAAGTTTTGTTTGCTTTTATATACTCTGATGATGTACTACAACAGAGCAGTGGGCAAGCTGACAGCCATCACTGTGGCCTCACCAACAGCCCCACTGAGGAGAGCAAATTTTCCTCTTGCTCAGAGGTTCTCTCAGCTTTCTATTCAAACCCTTGGCCCTTCCTTTCAAGTCAGTCCCTAATGGGAAGCTTTTGTGACATCCTACTCCCACTTACCTTCTGGCTTCCGAAGAAGATACAAATTATGCATTGCATATAGTGCTATTACAAGTCGAGAACAACAATAAATAGGATTGACTACAAAGATACGTCTCCTACCTTGCTTTGTGGGTTCTGTTCCCTTGAGAGCTGGTCATGGTGACAGTGGCATTTGAAAACGGTGTCTCTGCAGATGAATTGATGGCTTTGCCATTGCTGAGCTCCATGTACGTGCCATTGATGGTATAGGTCACAATGCCATCAGTGTCCTCGTAGTCAACGTAGAGGCTGTCAATGTGGGACCCCACAGAGTTGATTGGGTCTCCCTGGGCAAAGATGCTGTTCATGGTCATGTTGAGTACCAACTCCTTTGAGTCAGAGGCCTTGTCCAGCAGTTTGTCTGTGATGGCATTCTCCGAAAGGAATTCCCTGGAGGTAAACCTGGGGTCAAAGTCTCTGTCGTCATGGTCTGTCTGGTAAGTAGACCTGGTTACGTTTGAATCTAGATTGGAGCCAACAGGGGAAACAACAGTGACGACCACAAAATGCATTTGGGCAGGGAGGTGAAAGCAGCCCCTAGCAGCAGGGATACCAGAGCCTGAGCAGCCATGTCAGGGGCAAGTGGAAGAAGTAGGGGCCTTGGGGTAGGAACCCTTGGAGTTGTGCCCACTTGGAAAGAGTCCACAGCTCCCTATGGGCTTCATCTTGCAGTTGTGTGGCCCAAGGAGGAGAGCCCAGCACACAGAAGCAGGGTCCCAAGCAACAGCAGAAGTAAGAATGGTGGCCAATAGTCCCAAGCCCACAAGCCATGCAGGGGAGGCCCCCAGGGCAGCTTAGTAATGGGATGCCCAAGGGACTTGGGAGGAGAGGAGCTTGTTGGCACTGTGGAAAAGTGAGAAAGGAGGTTGTGATGGGGAGATTGGCACACCTACAGCTCCCTCCCTTCAGCATTAGGCAAAGCATCATAGGGCATCAGTGGGAGAGCTTACCCACGGCATCCCCCACCCACCAGAAACCAGAACCTGAAGGGCAAAGAGGATTTATGAGCAGAGATGTTTTAAAGAACTTTCCAAAGTTTCCAAACAAACCAGTAGGATCACTAGAGTTAGAAACACAGCGTTTCTCCACAAGAGCTCTGAAAGCAGAACAGTGAGGCCCAAGTCTCCTCCTTACCTTTGGGTTGTTTGCCCTTCAGTTTTGGCTCACAGTCAATTGTTTCTGCTCTTTCATAGACCTCATTGGTTTCCTGACCTTTGCTCAAGTTTAAATCTTCCTCCGTGTCCTGTCTTCCAAACACCTGGTTCTCCAAGTCTATCCTTTCCCTGGAGATTTTCCCAAAATAGGTTGCGTTGTGTTGGATAAAACCCAATGGCACATCTCCATCAAACTCCCTGCTTTCTTCGCTATCTGACTCAGAAAAGGTGTAGTAGATGGGCTGGAGATTTGAGTGTGGTTTCCTCAAGAGAGTATATTCAAACGTGATGGATGGATTTTTGCCATTTTGATTCCAGACCTAGCAAACGTGACATTATTAACGGATGCAGTGAATATATGGCATGCAAAGTTTGTGATTCATCTTGGACTTGACAGTTGGTGAGTATCTACCTCACTGTTTCCAATCTGCTTTCCATCACATTGCCAGCTTCACACAATTGAAGCCCAACAGAGTTTTCCAAGGGTTAGTATGAAACATGCAAATTCACAAGCAGCTCCCATCCAGCAGCTGAGCAACTGCTGAGGCTTGGGAGAGCTGTCTTCATGTGCACAAACCTCCTTTTTGAGGCATACAGGGAAGTGAGGAGCAGGTGATTAGGTAACCACCCCATCCCCTACAGGCAAGCCCAGGGACACAAGGAAGATGGCAGCAGAGGGGGGAGGAGGGTGGGCACTAGTTGGTTGCCCAGAAGCAAATGTCTGGTTTTAGATGGTTTGCCCCTTCTTCCACCCAACACAGCTTCTCCCCCACCATCCCAGTCTCACATACTTGAAAAGACAAAGCTCACCATGATGTTCAATCCTTGGTTTGTTGGTCCTTGTGCAACAATATACTCTATGCCAGTCTCATAGACGTCCATGGGCCGGCGGTACTTGAACACCGTGCCTGCAATGTTGAAATTCTTTGGGCTGTCAACTTTGTAATTCCCGTTGAAGAAATAGTACCCAGCTTCATCAGCCACAGCTTAAGACAAGAAAAACAAAACAAAATCAGTTCCAAAGGCGAGATGTAACATTGCCATTTGTCTGATCAGACTATAAAGTTATCGGAGTGTCACAGTAATGAGACGTGTTTTCTCCTACACTTTAATGCATTTGTCAGATGTTGTGTTCCCTACATGGATCCTGCAGGTAAACACCCAGAACCCTGGGCTGTGTTTTCATCTACACTGCAAAGCCCCCAGGCACGTCAGCTAACAGCACCAGCACAGCATAAACACAAAACAAGAACAGCTCTGCAGACAACAAGCAGACTGCCAGAGGCTACAGGTGAAGATGCCTCTCCAGGAGCCACCAGATCTCACCCAACTCTGTCCCAAGACTCATCCAGAGCTATCCAGAACCTGTCCTTCATAAAGCCTTTTTGCTCAAACCTTCTTGTGCATGGCCACGAGCCTCTGAGGCAACACCAGAACACAACAGCAAACACGTGCCTCCTTTGGGCAAGCCCAGGTTCTCAAACAACCCTACAGAACAGCTCTGCCTTCTCCAACTCTGAGATCAGCCTATGAGCCATCCCCATGGTGCTGCTGTCAGGTGGCCAAGCTAGGAGGGCATCACAGGAGAGGTGAGATCACTTGATTGTCATCTAGCACCAGCCTATTCAAACTGCACTGCAGCAGCAATGATAGCAACCAACAATTCTGCATTAAAGCAATCAGAATGCAGAAATACACAGCCCAGGTGCTCAGGCTGAAGTGAGGAGAAATGCACGGCTGTGATTTACACCAATGGATCTGGCTCGAGTCTGCAGTAAAGCTACATTCATACAGACACTGAAAAAAAATATTAGCCAGCACACATGCATTCTAGGGAAGTACCAAGAGGTTATACACACCCAGAACATCTGCAGATTTTTTCCGTTCCACTATCTGGATATCCCTTGCTCCAGCAGGAATGTGTGTTACCAGGGAATAGCCTATGGGAAACTACAGATTAATGAAAGGAGAACTTTGTAACGAGTCATCTGAACACAGTGCTCAGCAGACAACACTGTGATTCGTGAGCAAGTGGGACAAATCCTGCTAGCAGCACTGCAGCTCACTCTGTCCCAAAACGATCCCCAGAGAGCACTACTCATGCCTGCATTAGGTCACTGTATTTGGGACCAGTAGGTTCTGTTGCTTTACACTAATTTTGGAAATCCTGGCCTTTCAAAACATCCTCACTTCCTGTTATTACAGTGCATTTATTGCTAGCTTTAGCGGGTCATGGGTAAGCAAACAAACCTCTTGCATAACTATGCTGCTCCATTCAGAGAGCTCAGATTCCTCAGAAGGGTCATGGAAAGGGACTGTTTTTGCAGAAGGGTTTCCCTGCCCAGATCTGCAAGTGCATCAGCATAGAGGACACATGGGAAAAGGTGATGGAGGACACTCAGTGGGAGCTTGGAGCAGTTTACTGAAGAAATAAACGCAGCTAAAAAACACAAATAAAGCAAAGGGACCCTTGGAGCCTTACCCAGATGAGCGTTTCCTTTCCTGTAACTCCCCGTCACATGAGTGCAGCTGCTCCCATCTCCTTGGCAAACTCCACATTTATCCAAGGTGTGGGTGGAAAAGAGAATGCCATCGCAGCCAATTGGCTAGAAAAGGCACAGAGTACTGCGGGTCAGGCAAATATTGCACCCCTTGTACCACTCTGAATGCTACTAACAATATTTTTGCTATAATGTTTAACAACCTCACATTTTCCAGACACGCAAACCCCTCGGAAATCAGTGTATTTGCAGGATGTTCCATCCCGAGCCTGAACCATTAATTGTCTCTGACCATCCACAGTGGTGCAATGGAGGTCACAGGGCTTGCTAGAAATGTGAACATAGTCATCTAAGGGGAAAGGATATAGAGACACATTCAAAACAGCAGAAACACAATAACTTTCATCCTACCAATGTCAATGAATCTCTGCCAAGCTAAACAACAGCAACACAAATTGCACAGCAGCCAGCGCTGCAGGAGCCACAACCTCTTGTGCCTGCAGGTTGGACAGGAGATTGAGCTCCTGGCAGCCTACTGCTGCAAGCCTTTGCACAGCTCCAGTGCTGGAAAGAGATGCACCTGCTGCTGGCAAAGGTACCACAGCCACTGTGCTGTGCAAGGGCATGCAGCCACATTATACATACATTACACATATGCACATTCATATATCAATATTTAATACATACATTAGTTGTTATAAATTGACATACAAGACTATTCAAAACCACATCAGCTTATAACTCAAGATCTCTCCCACTGACATTCTCCCAGGTTGGGCTCAGTTTGCCCCTTGCTTTCTGCAGATGCTTTATAATACCCACAGGAAGCAAGAGACAAATCCACGCATGCAGCAGAGCCCTGTGCCAAGCGTTGCACTCCACAAGGAGGGAGCATTGATATACCCACTGGCCCAAGGCAGCATCAATGGCAAAACATTATCCTGCCAATCCCCCAGGAGACACGTGAGCGCCTGCTAAAAAACAAAACAGTTCACTGTCACTATTCTGGTGAATCATCATCTTGAAGGGTGAATACGTTCACAGAAATTGTCCCCCTCCTATGGCAAGGTGACAAGGCTGAGCAGAGCTAACCACGTCCCAGCACACAGCCCTGCCATGGGGATGCAGGCAGGGGCTGGTGTCACTCGGAAGGAGGCAACAAGGAACACCATGAAGCATAACTGTTGGTTGGTAACTGGAGACACCCAAGCAAGAAAATTCTGCTAAATCCTCTATTTTCAGACACCTAAGTTCCCAAGGGGAATCCCAGTATCCCCTGGAATTGGCTGGGATTTTCTTAAAGCTTGGTTTCAGTGGGAGTTAGGTGCCTAAAAATACGCTTACAGTACATACATATCCCAGCCTGATTCCTCAATTATCCCTGCCGTTCTGTGTCACTCACCCTACATGACCGAACTGATTCCATCTCAGTGACATTTGGCAGAGCCCACACATTGTGTGGGAGTGAGCAAATGTCACAGGAATGCACTGCAGCCAGCAGCAGCCCCAGCTCACCACATGCTGAACGAGGTGGATGCTCCCTGCCAGCACAGAGCATCGCCCCACGTCCTCATCCTCCAGCCTGCCTTCCTTGGGAGCTGTGACCAAAACAAGCTGGAGGATACTGACACAAATATGTTTAGCTATTTTATTTTTTAGGTAACCCTGCAAGCTGGAAAACCCTCCTTTGAACCTGGGAGGCAGCCGATTGTGTCCCTGAAAAAAATCACTTTAAAACAGCAGAGGAGGGGCCTTCCTGCACTCCATAGCATCACAACTATCAAAATATTTTGGCTAAGCATTATGAAACACACAAAGAATGTCTTGTTACCAGGGTATAAAGGTTTCCATTGATACGTTCTTCCATTATACACATGGGAGTTAAAGGATGAACACTGCTCCTCTCGAAAGCTCCTTCCGTTTGCAGGGCACTCCTAGAATGGGATGCATTAACATCCTGATGAAAATCAAATGTGGGAGAGGCTCCTGGCACACAGCACCCCCTGCAAAGAGCACTTCTTCCATCACCGGCCCCATCCAGAGCCACATCCTCCTCCTCCCACTGTGGGAACAGCCAGGGAAACCCCAAGGCAGATGGCACAAGGGCGCCACTGGGTTTTATGGCCCCCAACAGCAGGGATAGCAGCCAGAAAAGGGAACTCCAGCTGCTAGAGGGGCAATGTGGGGACTGCTACAGGATGAGCAACACCTCCACTCCAAGGGACTCAGGAATGCCATCACGTGAAGCAAGCGTGACTTCCCAGTTTTTCCACCAAACGTCACTTGCAAGAAAAAAGGATATCCTTACTTGTACTTTGCAGAGCTGGTATCTTTTGGATGTTCCAGTGCAAGTTTTATTAGCCAGCCCACTCACTGACTTTCGTCTGAATAAAGAAATAATGGTTAAAAGGGATCAGAAATACTTTTCTCTGAAGGAGCCGTTGTTCCCTGCTTCTTCAAGACCTGTGTCCATGTAACAAAGCCACACCTGAAGGAGAAACCTTGGGGCCAGCACAGTGCATCTCAGCTCCCAGGTAACAGTGACAGGGCAAGAGGGGATGGCCCCACACAGTGCCAGGGGAGGTTCAGTGTGGATATCAGGAAAAACTGCTTCTCAGAAAGAGCAGTGATGCAATGGCATAGCTGCCCAAGGAGGGGTGGACTCACCATCCCTGAAGGTGCTCCAGAACTGTGGAGATGAGGCACTGAGGGACACAGCCAGTGGGCATGGGGGATCTTAGTGGTCCTTCCCAATCTCAATGAGAATTCTTTCCCTAATGGGGAGGATGCAGCCCCTCACAACACCACGCTCTACCCACACTCACCTTCTGCTCACATAGGGTTTGCCAGCTGACCCCTCTCTACTTGCTACTCACTGAGCAATGACCTGGACCAGACCCACTCCCAGTGTGCACACTGGGGTCTTTCCACCCTCATACCTCTGCCGCAGGCAGTGCCTCTCCTGGGACTTCACACCTCCACCACAGCTCCTCGTGCACGCTGTCCACTTGGTCCACTCACCCCACCAGTATGCAGTGACATCTGCACCCTCCTCCAGGCTGTTGGAGGTCTGAGGCAGGTCCTGCAAGCACCAGGGGGGTTGGGAGAGAAGCAGCATTCAGCACTCATTGCAGAGCCCATGCAGCCCCTGCTGTGACATCCCAGGGCATTTTTTTCCCATCTGAGGTCAAGTCTGGGATTCCCATTCTTGCAAGAAATTCTGCTTTCTCAATTGTGTTTTCATTACAAATTGGAATGAAACTGCAATATTTGGGATTCCTCAGGAAAGGAAACGTTCATTGTTTAGCCCAGTTGGCAAAACCAAGCTCCCATACAACCCACAAGTTCTGGCTCTTGCTCCACCACAAACCCAGAGAGTTGATGAGCCGGCGGCAGCTGAGAGCTGAAGCAAAGGCCTGCAGAGCCACCCCACAGAGGCCCAGCACACCCACAGCAGGGTGCATGAGTCCAGGTTTGGACAGGTCAAAGACCACCAGATTTGTCACTTCAGGAGGATCCCACATCTCCCCCACTGTTGCAATCCACACCTTGCGGACAATGAGCTGCTCCAGAAGCAGCATCACCACCACCCCACGGGTACCACAGAGGCTCCCATCCCTTCCCCAACCCCAGGACATTCACCAGAGACCCCCCCCCAATAAGGTGACACTTACCTGAGCTATCACAAAGGCCATGTTGCCCACGACGAGAAGGGCCAGGGCAGCCCTCAGCCAGGACCATACACTGACAGAGACCCTGCTCCACCTCCACCTGAGCATCTTCATCCTACGGAGCAACCACGCTGTGCTGAGCAAGACCCCATGCAGCCATATGGGAGGACCCCCACCACCAGTGACTGCAAGGGCTTGATCCAGAGGTGGTACCTGATTAAAGGAAACACCAACATGGCACAGGTTCCCATCCCCATCTCTGCTGCTATCTGCCAACCCACACTTCTGCACTGGTTCCCAGTGGCTGCACCAGATGTCACCAGTGGGCCTGGCTTTTAGAAGACTTGTATACTTCAATCTCACCAAGTATTCGATACAATTAACAGTGATTATTTTTCCTTTTCATTTATTCTACTCTAATTCCCAGCAATTTCTTGAAGCCTGCTCTTATAGAGAAGAAACCACATGCAACTGAAGTGCAGGAACACAGCATCCCAACTGTCAGCCTTCCACCCCTTTCTCCATTTGCCTCACAAAAGAGAATAACCCAGAATGGCATTTTCTTAATTAAAACCCAGCTTAAAGCCACAACGTATTTCACAGTGAGAGCCAGAAACAGGCAGGCTTCAGGAAGTCATGCTTCCAAGCAATCACAGCAGCTCACATCTGCAAGAAAAAGCAGTGTAGAGAGGAACTTATGCTAACATCCCTTGAAGGATAGGGCAACTAGGCACTGCCTCTGGGAAACGGGGAGGTGAGAGAGAGGCTGCAGAGCAGCAGCACAGAGGTTTCTCTGCTCCTTCTGCTTCCTGCAACGGCTCTCGTGCAGCTGTGGAAGCACAGACGTGCTGGCAGTGCCTGCACAGCTGTGGGATCTGCCTCGCACAGATCCCCATCGGGGCTCCCGGTTCCCAGCTCAGCTCCACTCTCGCCCCACGCATTGCTCCAGGGCACAGACGCGTTCCAAATCGCGGATCCATTGATTAATCGAAGCGCAGAGCTCTTGGCCGGGGATGCCGGGGACAGGTGGCTGAGCCTTGCCTTACACTTGGTTTTCATTAAGACTTCCAGACACTTCTGATTCCAAGCCAATAAAAGAGCTTGCTCAGAGTTTATCCTAGATCCAGCGAAAGAGCTTCACGCTTAAATAAAAGAAGGGGAAAATAAAGGAAAGGGGGAGGGGGGGGCAGGGAAGACACCAGCAAGCACTTCGGAACCGGGAGAGGAGGAAAACATACAGACCTGCATACAGACCCGCCCGCCACGGGGGGATACGGTCGGAGGAGCGCCGTCCGCACGGGGACAGCGGGGACCCCTCGGGCCGAGCGGTGCAGCGGAGGCGGTATCGATATCGGTACCGGGCGGCGCGGAGCAGCGGAGCAGCAGCAGCAGCCGCCGCTCCTCCCGACTTCAAAGCTCTGCCGGGCGCCGGGCTCGCAGCGAGGAGAAGCCGCAGTGGCTCCCCCCAGCCCGAGCCGACAGCTCTTATAGCTAGGGGGGAAGCGGGGCGGGGGGAAGCGGGCGGAATTCACACCTCTCGGCCCGGGATGCCCCCACCCCGGTTAACCCCTCGCCTCCCCCGGCGCCGGCCCGCGGCCGCCAGCCGGTTTCCTGGTTTCCTGCGGGGAGGCCGGGCGGGGAGAGAGGGGGGGGAAGCGGCACGCATGCGTCCCCACCTCGTTTTTTTTTTCACCCCCCCCCCCCCCCCACAGGCAGGGTTGTGGATGGGCTTCTCGGCTGGAACGGGGCTTTCTCTTGCAAAAAGAGAATAAAATTGCCCTAAGCTGCGTTTTCCGTGCGGTTTGTTGGAAATCAGCGTCGTTCGCTCTGCTTGTGCCACGCCAAAGAAAGGCGGTGGGAATAAGGTGGGCTCGATGCACTGCGGGGACCAAGGCTCCCCCCAACCTCCCACCCCATCCCCGGCTCGGTGACAGCCGTGCACGTGGCAGAGAGAAGCCAGAGGAGCACAGCAGCACGTGGGTACGGGATGTATGGAACCACGACACACGGTTCCCTGGGCTCGGTGTAGCCGATGACACAGCTGACAGTGACATGTGGCTGTGTGCACGTTCCCTGCGCGCACAGTGGGGACATCTCATTGTGGAACCCACCTGAAGGATCTCCTGCTCCCAACTCCAAGGGGTGCTTCATCACCAAGTGCCATCCACGTGTCACCCAGCAGCCGCGCGGTGCAGAATCCCCAGGGGCAGCCACACCTCTTGTCCTTGTAAATTTGGACCCGGGGATGGCAGTGAGGAGCTGAGGAATCTGTCCCAAAAAAATTTACATGGGAAATGAAGTCTCCTTTTTCTGTTTGGCTAAACGTCTGCCAGCCTGCTTTAATTCATCCAGCCAGGTTGATTTGCAACTTTTAGTTTTCCATCGGTTGGCTGTGACCAGGACACTGGGAAAATTTAGCACTTGAGTTCACCCAGCTTCTGCGTTTCAAAATATCCCAGCTCGAGACAAGCAGGAGGAAACCCTTTCCGTTTCGGAACAACCAGGAGGGAAAAGTCTGAACATGAGAGATTTTAACAGCATCAAAATATTTCACATTGAAAACGCCAGCTCAGCTCAGCCCAGCTCTGTGCGAGCTGCTGTGTGCCCAGGGTTTGTCCAGAGCCACTCCGTGGGTGGGACCCCAACCCGGTGGGACCCCAACCCTGCATGACCCCATCCCACTGCAGTGACAAGCAGAGCTGGGGAGCACTGGGGTGAGGGACAGCTGTCCCCATGCAGGCGCTGGAGGTGCCAGCAGCAGGCGAGACGCGCTCGGTCTCTGTGCTTCACCAAAAGTCCACCAAAGCCAAAGGACTTTACTTTTTTTTTCTTTTCTTTTCTTTTTTTTTTTCTTTTCTTTACGAAACAGTTGAGATGACTCAGCGGTTTCTGACGCAATCCCCGTTTCATCGGAAAATTCCTAACCAGCTCCTAGTGGCAACTGATCGCTCCCATAAATCACGCCGTGTTATCCCTGGCCGCAGCAGAGCGGCTTACGCAGCCCCGGCCCCTCTGCGTGAAATCAGCAGGAGCGATGCCATCGCGTCACCGGGAGCAACACCAGCCCTGAAAGCAAAACGCGGCACAGAACAGATCCAAAGCACCACCCCAAAGCCGGGGGACGCGGTGCTGCTGCCGAGGCTGCCGGCAGGTCCGGCATTAATCATCGGCGGCCGGGCTCAGACGACAGGGTTTTTTATCTCCTGGTTTTTGGCGTGAGCGTTAGAAATGATTTGCAGATGTTATTGACTGCTTTTTGGGGCTGGAGTAAATTGAGACAAGATGCACCTGCGTGGAGGGTGAAAAGCACTCTCAACCTGGGGATGGGCGCAGTGTGCTTGCAGAGGACATTCCCAGAAAAGTCCAGGACTGAGCCATGGGAAGATGGAGCACCAGCCCCATGTGCAGCACAGTGCATGAGGGGCAAATCTCAGCAGGGGTGGGGCTCAAATGGTGCAGATGGCCAAATGTGCAGGAAAAGCTCCAGCTAACCCTATCCCGAACCTTAAACCTAACCCTAACCCGAACCCTGTGCTTCACTTTCCCTGAGGCCAGCTTTTCCATCCCAGATCCGTGCCTCGCACAACTCACACTACAAATAAATGGAGCAACAGAAGCTCCAGAATGTTCTCCTGCTGGAGTGGTGACCTTGGAGCAAGGAGCGTGGAGCAGGACCTGCTTCTGGTGGACTGAGTCACATCTTGGCCACAGGATGCCTCCTGCACCACTTTTCAGGCAAAATTGTCCCTTTTCTGGCCCCAGTGCCACGTGGTGTGCTGCAGCATTGCTGTTCCCAGCCCCATTAAAACATCCAGGAGAGCCAGGCTGGAAGAGCATGGTATGGCGTGTGCTGGTCCAGAGCCCCGGCAGCTTTGGATTCACTCAAGGGTGAGACATCTCCCAGACTTTCTTCTTTTCTGACCCTCTCATTCAATAATTCTGCACAGCTACACACAGTAAATACAGCTGTTAAGGCAGTCGCAGAGTGGGGTGAGAGCTCTGCACTGCCAGGACTTTGCCAAGGGGATCAAAATGTGACAAAGCCCCAACAAATGCCCTGGCAGACAGCCCTAGCTTCTTCTCCAGAGCTGTGGCTACGGCCTACCACTGTGCAACTGAACCAAAAGGAGACCAACAGTTGTCCTTTGGAGACGCTCCCGGTCCCTTGCAGAGTGACCCTACGGCACAGTGTTAGGCAAGGCACTTTAAGCTCTGCATGCCTGCATGAAATGTGGACAACAGTGATTTATGTCGTGTTAGCATGAGGGTTTCATCCGTGGATATTTGCAATATGTTGAGTCAAACCAACAAGCCACCAAGCTGCTCTCGCCATCAGATTCCTATTAAAAATGCCTCTGGGAAGTCTGAAAGCCACAAGTGACCGCAGTGTTCCCAGGTATGGTCGTAGCCATAGGGTTTTAATGCCTTTAAAACCACTTTTTTTTTTCTTTTGCTTTAATACTATCTGTCCCCAGAGGACATATGTTCCTGCAGGAACCTGGAGGAGCCTTCAGACCCATCACACTTGGTTGGAAATTTAAGCTATGCAAAGATAAAAAGGCAAAATTACAAAGCTTTTTCTTGTAGTGGAATGTGCCTTGCATGGAGGTTGCGTGGTATTGTGTTGAGGAACACAAGCTATGCAGCACTGCCAACCACAGGCATTCAAAAGTCATGAGTCAGACTCCCCCAAATCCTAAGATTGGTTTCATTCCCTTCTGGCTTCTGAGCCTTTAAACATCACAGATTCAAACTTTTCTCTTCAGAAAATGAGATTTTTGGCCAAGGGGGTCTGGAGCTGAGACCTTCCATTGCCACTGTGCTCCAGCAGCTGCGAGTGCAACAAAACCCTTATGCCCCATGAAACCAGCAATAAACACCACTGCAAGACCCCCACCTATTTCCACCTTTGGCATCCAAGCAGCCCACCCTGAAGCAGAACCAGAGGGGTAAGAGCAACAACAAACAGGTGACAAAACATACGTCCTCATCACTAATGGTGACGTTGTAACAGGCAACGACCAGGTAGAGGGGCAGGGAAGGGTGGAAAACCCAAAAGAAAAAAGCAAAGGTGTCACACACAACAGGTTTATTCAATAGAGAGACAGGAAGCAGGAATCATTAAAGCCAAGCAATAAGCTAAAACGGGGCCAGGCCTCACAGAGAACAGACATTTGAAGTGGCAATTTATTTCACTAATAAGGCTGCAGGTGCAGAAGGGGGTGGGTGGGCACTGCCCCATAGCCAGGAGCATGCCTGGAAGGCCCTTTCCCCACACCTGTGACTTGCAGTCCTACAGAAAGGATGGTGGTTCTATCAAAAGCTCTCTTTGCATTCATGCAGCGGCTCTGACAAAGGCGATGGGAGGGATTTTACCCCAATGCTTTTCTCACCCCTGCTCCTTGGGGTAGGGAAGGCTGCTCCTTCACTCACCCAAAGAAGAATATATTCTTCATATTCAATACTGGCATCGATCCCCACTCCTCTTTCGGTGCATTCTACACTCAACCTATCACCCTCACATTAAAAATAACACAAAACTCTCTGTGTCTCCTTTCTCCTCTGCAACGTCTGAGCTGAAACAGTAGAAGTGCTCACAGAGAGCCATGGTTAGTGTTACCCTGGAAGGATCCAGGCCGGCATACCAGAACCTGGTTTTGGCATCTGGGAACCACTTTTCAGCCATATGTATCACCGTTCTTGTGTGCACTCTGGTCCACACAAAATTAGCCCTGTGGAATGTGAATGTGAAATTTGCTTTCCAGAAGCACTTAAAACGCAGGAGCTAAAATTTGCTCTTTCTTGATTTCCTACCTGTTTAAGAGTGTAGGAACGCAATTCTGACCCTTTGTCCCTTGGGTTCCTTCCCTGGAAGATGTGCAAAGCCCATGTCTAGCACCGTGTGTTGAAACAAAGACCCCGAGGTGAGCTGCCACCTGCCCTGCACGCTTTGCTTTGGGCTCTCTTTTTCAATCCGTGCTGGAACACGTGTGCAAACCAGGGGTGTTTTTTTTCCTTCAGTGCCTACAGTGCTGGCTGCAAATCAAGCACCAGCCCAGGGCGTGCAGCTGGGAGAGACAAAACCCAAAGCACCTGAGGAATGTTTTCTTGCTCCTGAGAGCTCCAGCGCTTACTGCCCAGGGCTGGCACGCGCTGCAGCCAGCAGCCAGCTGGGTTTCCCTTCCCCTGGGCTCCAGCTGTGTTTTGGGCAAAGAAGTGAGGGGGGTTCATGTGACAACGGTTTGATCAGATTTTGAAGCTGTTGCATGACCGCCACAGTCGCACATCCATGCGAATTGTCCCAAGGGGTTGCCATGCATGCAGTTGTGGACATGTGTTCACTTTGCTCCAGTTCCCACTCAGAAGTTGGGTAGTTCTGTGCTAGAGAGATTTTCACAGTGTAAAGGGATCATAGAGGTTTTCACTATTTTTTTTGCAGTTTTGCAGGGGTTGGTGCTAAGCTTGTGCAGGCAGGAGGGCAGCTGAAGACGTGCACTGAGCAGCTCCCTGTGAAGGGATGCTCGCCTGCAGGCCTGACCAGTTACAGAACCACAGAATCGTTCAGGTTTTAAAAGACCTCTCAGATCCCCAACCCACCCCACCATGCCCACAGATAAGTCCCTCAGTGCCACATCTCTATGGTTCTGGAATTGTAGCCCCACCACTGCCTGGACAGCCTGTTCCACTGCATTGCCACTCTTTCAGAACAGCGGTTTTTCATAATATCCAACCTGAGATATCCTATAGAACAGGACCCCATCACACTGTGCCTGGAGGAAGACTGCCAGCAAATCCTCCTATGCCCACACCTTGATACTACTGGGCCATCCTCATTGCACGCAACACCTAAGTGACTCCTCCTCCCTTTCCAGCCTGTCTGGAGGCTTTCACAGTGCCTTTTTCTCTATGTGTTCCCATCAGAGGCACGGGCAAACCCATGCTATAGAGCTCACACAAAGCCGGTGGCTCCCAGCAGCCCACAGCCCCCTTCCAACCCCCACCAGCACAAAGGCGTTTGCTCAAGCTCAGCATTCCTGCTCCCCGCTCATGAGAACAGCTGGACTGAAAGGATGCTGAGAATCCCTGCAAGGCTCCAAGGAAAAGATATTAACCTAGGAGGGGATCAGCGGTGATATAATAAAAAGGCGTAATAAAAGAGAGAAGCCACTGAGTGGATTAGCAGCCCAAATTTTGCTTGGCTTTTGGTCTCCTTCCCTCCAGTTCTCCCACACCATCCAGTGATCTGCTCCTATTCCTCTCTGCAGAGGGAAAGCTCAGTTCTTGAATTTCCATGGGGTTGAGTTTCACCCTTCCTGAGCACCCAGGCACACGCGTGTATGGGCGGCATTTCACACCGGATAGGATGCTGGCTCAGATTTGATGCTGCTCCCATGCTTGTTGCTCCCCAGCGCCTCTCCTCCACGGATAAAAGCCAGATTCAGAGCTCCATGGGTGTGTGCAATAAACGCATGTGCATTACAGCCAGCATTAAGCAAACCGCAGTCGTCGAAGGACACAAACAGCTGGGGCATTGCAGGGCATGGAGCATTTGCTGCCCCAAGAATTTTGCTATCCAGGAGGGAATGGAGTGCATGGGCGGCTCAGCTGTGCCACAGCCCGCAGCTGTTCCCTGCCTGCAGCTCTCTGGACATTTAAAGTTTAAAGCCTTCTCTCCACGTCTGCTTTCTCCTCCATCTCCAGCAGCTCACACAGACCCAGGAGCCGCCGGCCTGTCAGGCACCCATGGGCTCACTGGTGGCCAAACTCCTCCTGCCCACCCTCAGCACTTTGGTCTTTCTCCCCACCATCAGCATCGCGGCCAAGCGGCGCTTCCACATGGAAGCCATGGTCTACTTCTTCACCATGTTCTTCGTGGCGGTAAGAGTGCATGTGTTTTTCCTCCCTTCCAGTGTCAGGAACAGGGGGGTCTCCAAGGGGGTGAGAGGGGATGTCACCAAGTGACCACCAGAATACCCAGTTTTATCTATCTCCCACCGTGTGCAGTGCTGAGCAGTGCGTTCTTGAATGTCCCCATCCTTGGAGACACCCAAGGTCAGGCTGGTTGGGGACATGAGCACCAGACTGAGCTGTAAGTGTCCCAGTTCAGTGCAGGGAGTTGGACCAGATGGCATTTGAAGGTCACTTCCAATTCAAACGATTCTATAATTCTATGGCCCTGTGATTCTTTGAGTGGATGTGCTGAGGGCTGTCCTTAAGGGGACGTAGTGGTGTTTCATGGTGAAGTTAGGAAGGGTCTGGATGTGAAACAGTGATTCAACACAGTGTTCTGGAGCCAATCCTCTCTTTGTTTTACAGCTGGGAAATAGCCACGCTGGACTGAGGGTTTAAATGCCATTCAGAGTATCTCACTATGCTTCTGTCCTTGTAGCCAGAAGCGCACAGTCAAATTCTTGATTTTGCAATTGCTAAGTGGTGGTGTGAGCCATGCTGGAGTCAGGGACTTTTGCAGGGGGGAAGGAAAGGCTAAAACATGCTGCCGAGCTATCGGGGAAAATAAGTTTTACCCCTCCACTGTGGCAGTGATGTGAAAGCCAGCACCTCCTGCCCCCCTTTTGTTCATTTCTCACCACTCATCCTAAGGCATTTCATGGAGCAATTTGTGCCCCCCGCATGGACACAGAGACAGTGGATAGTGAGGCATCTTCCTGGTGCAAACAGCTCTTCTGCAGCAGAACTGAGGGTAAAGCCTACTACGCTTTTATTCCTGAGGATCCATCATTTAAAGCCCCATTTAAAGCACAGTGCAGGGGGAAAACTTCTTCCAGTTCCATAAAGACTCCAGGAGCAGTCAATAAACCCATCCCCACCGAGCACAGCCCCCCTCCCCCCCCCCTCAGCTCCCTCCCAGCTCCCCGGGGAAGCCAGACATCTACGATTTCATTTTGCACTGCTTCTGTGTCTGCTCCACCTTCCCCAGAAGCCCATCGGAAAGTTGGCGTGAGCCTGGAGGGGAGGCGGGACGGATCCTCACCGCGGAGCCGAAATCCTCGCGTGGGGAAGGGGCTGCAGCTGCCACCCGGATGGGGCAGGGAGTGACAGCTGCTGCCATCCCCATTCTTGTCACATCCCCTCCTGGGTTGCATGTGGCCGTGCCCAACAAGTGGCATGATGCCGGCCAGAAAGGCACTCCTTCTCCTTCAGCCCTTCTCCTCCCTGATCTCCAAACACAGCCTGAAGCAGGGAGAGGAATGATGGCCATAGTGCTATCATTGCTAGAAACCACAGTGAGCCAAAGGGCTCCGAGTGATACCCATGATACAGAATAGCAGCATCCTGCTCTGCATGGCAGTGGGGCTGCGCCATAGGCAAGGGGCCAAGCAGTGCTGGGACCTTTCCAGTGCTATGGTGCTTGTGGTGGGAAGTGAGTAGGGCTGGGAGCAGGTAGGGAAAGGTGAGCACCAGGCAGGAGCATTGCTGTGACTGCTCTGCAAAATTTCTCTTGGCTTGGTCTGCATCTGTGCTGCATGACAGTGATTCTTTGCAAATATCCCAATCGATGAGCAACATCCAGTGGACAGGAACCAGCAGACACTAATGAGTGACGTCCCCAGTGTCCAGACTCTGTCCATAGAAACCCTAATTAGCCCATACAGTGACCTGGCATCTAGACGTGTTTCATTGGGAAACTCGTTAGGAATTCTTTTACAAGAATCTTTCACAATTAAAATCAAAACTGTCTGAGCCCTTCCTTCTGCTGGAAGAAAGCAGCTGTGGGTCCCTGCTCACAGCAGCAGTGTGGTCATCACAATGCAAACTCTGGTGCTGCCTGGAAGGCAAAGCAGAACCAGTCTGCAGATAATTTTTAATAGGACAGAAGGGTGCTGGCACTGGGGTGGTTTGCCATTGGGTACGGAATCCAATAGATTCACTGCTGCACATCAGCAACCCTGGTGGATCTGGGACTGTTCTGCTCCTATGGTTTAGCAGCCACACAAAGTCTGTTTCAAACCAACTGATAAGAGGAGGTATATTTTACCTGTCTGTGGGTAAGAATCTAGATCTCTAATGTTTTCTTTTTTTCTTTTTTGAATAGATTTACCATGCGTGTGATGGCCCTGGCTTATCGGTGCTATGTTTCATGCGCTATGACATCCTGGAGTACTTCAGCATCTATGGGACAGCTCTGTCCATCTGGGTGTCCCTGATGGGTAAGCACGGCTCAGGGTCCCTGCAGGTGGGTGCTGGTTGCAGGGCTGTGCTTTGGAGCTCCAACTACATCACTCACCTCTTACAGAAGTCAGTCCAGGCCGTGGTTTGGTCTTTCTTTATGTCATGGAATCATAGAGTGGCTTGGGTTGGAAGAGGCCTTAAGGATCATAAGCTCCAAACCCCTTGCCATGGGCACGGCTGCCTGTGTACCACACATGCCTTGGAAAGTCATTGCACCTAGTGGATGGATGCACACCAAAACCATCCCACATGGTAGCTGGGATGGCTTTGCTCTTTGAGATAAACAGAGCCCTGGAGCCAGCTGTTGTAATAAACTAGGCACTCTTCTTCCATCATTATCTTTTCACATAAGCAAAATTGTTTATTTCAGATAGGCTCATGCAATCTTGTGCTTTGGTTCAAGGAACCAGCAGCACTGGGAGTACTACAGGATGACTTGGTCTGAGACCTCACACACCAGAGAATCTTACTTTTCTCTTCCCTTTCCCCACGCTGTGCCCATTGGTTTGTGTGCTGAAGTTCTTCTAGCCACAGAACAGCCCATGTCCCAAAATTGAGGCATTCAAAGTGCAGAGCTTGCCACTTCCCTAGGCAGCAAGCAAACCAAAGTGGTTTAGTCAAAACAAATCTATCTCCCTAGTTATCAAGCCTGGTCTGGGCCGTTGGAAATTATTAGATCTGATTAGAAAAGGCAGAAAGGTACTCTACCTGCTTTTCATTAAAAATCCCGACTCTGGCATATTCAGGTTTCCTATTCTCACATTCCCTCCATTCTCTATTTTTCCCCTCTTGTTCCTCATTCACCACTGAAACGAGGCAAAATAGGAATGAACACAATGAAAGAACCAGAGAAGGGGGAAGGCTGCAGAAGGGCAGCGAGGCACGTGGTCTGCAAGGGACATTTCTCAGTAGATGACGGCAGGGTCAGGGAAGGTCGGTGCTGATCCAGGCACTTTGGTTCCTCGCAGCAAAATTTCAACTCGATTGCTTCATTAACCGCGTTCAAAAAAGAAATCTGACAGCAAATAAATAAATAATAAAAATAAATAACCCCAGAATAAGATGTTTAAAATATTGACCCGCGGGGAAACAACAGAGATTAAAATGCGGACATGATCCCTTAGCCAAACTCCCTATAAAAACCTGATCCAAGGACATGGAGGTGCACTGACTGCAGCCCAGGGAAGCCTCTGGCTGTGCCTTGTAAAGCCCAGGCGCACATGTGCGGACGCAGACCCTCGGGCACGCTTCCCGGAATGCAAATCCAGGACAGCCATAACACAGCTGTGCGAGCTGGAAAAGCATGGAGCCCACTGGGATCCATAACTTTTATCAGTTATTACCCCATTCTGTGCTAAACAAAAGCCTTCAATAATTCACTTGCACTGGCGACTTCCAGCTTGCAAACCCAGGCAGGTGCCGGTGTCGCCCATCAGCCTGGAGCCCCATCCCCACCACAGCCAGGAAATTCGGGAGGGCTTTGGGAAGAGCAGGAACCAAGCACAGCTCCACCAGCTGCAAGATCCCTGCTTTCATCCCTGATTTTTCGGTTGAGGCAGCAGCAGGTTCTGCCAGGGTCAGCCCTACAGGTGTGCTGAGCTCCCTGCATTTGCAGAGCCAAGGGGAAGGGGTGAATGCACATCCCATCACTGATGGCTGTAGAATCCTAATCCTAACCCTAACCTAAAGCACAGCCCCAGTCATTAAGGTTGGAAAAGGCCTCTGAGATCATCTAGTCTGACCAATCCCAGACCCAATCCTGGGGTCCCTGGGATGAGGCTTGGACACCCCGAGCTGCTCTCCCCACCACAGGAGCAGGAAACACAGCTGAGCCAAATCCATGCTCTTTGCCCACAGCCCTGGCCGAGTTTGATGAACCAAAGAGATCGACCTTCATCATGTTCGGCGTGCTCACCATCGCTGTGAGGACCTACCATGACCGCTGGGGATACGGCATCTACTCGGGACCCATTGGGACAGCTGTGCTGGTGATCACCGTGAAATGGGTGCGTCCAAAGGGCACGCCTGGGGCTCTCCAATTGCCTGCAAGAGGTTTTCAAGGTCCAGCCCCAAGTTGAACTTATCTCTCAGACAGAGGCTGGGTTTGCAAGGGCGCACGCATCCTTAGCTCAGGTTTTGGGGCTGAATGTTGAGAATCCAGCTTTGTGCAAAAAAAAACCCAAAACAACAGAGGTAGAAGGAGCACAGGGCTTGCCCAGTGCAGGCAGAGCCCACAGCCTCAGAGCGTGACTGCAGCTTTGCATGGCTTTGTGTTAGGGTGTTTCATGGCTTGGTGTTAGGGGAGATTTAGACTGGATATAAGGAAAAAAAATTTACAATATTGGTGATGCAATGGCACAGGTTGCCCAGAAAGGTGGTGGGGTTCTGTCCCTTCAGAAATCCGAAGTTGGGGGATGGGGCTCTGAGCACCTAGTGGAGCTGCAGGTGTCCCTGTTCACAGCAGGGCATTGGATCAGGTGGCCTTTAGGGATCCCTTCCGACTCAAGTGGTTCTGTGGTTCTTTGTGTTAACATTGATGAGATCTGGGCATGGAGCCCCTGTGGGCCACGGGTGAGGCTGCTCAGTGTGCTCTGTGTGCTCTGTGTGCTTGCAGCTACAAAAGATGAAGGAGAAGAAAGGGCTGTATCCAGACAAGAGCGTCTACACCCAACAGATCGGTCCTGGCTTCTGCTTCGGGGCATTAGCACTGATGCTGAGGTTCTTCTTTGAGGTACCATTTGCACACTCACCCACACTGATCTCCAGGGGTCATCACCCTGGCTAACATCTGTGCCACAAATAGATCCAAACCGTCCTCATGCCAAGGTGAAGGCCCCACTGGCTCCTGGGTGCACACAGCCTGGCTTTCAACCTCTGCTCCCACTACTGCCCAGTGCCCCTGTTCTGCATGAGAGCTCACACGTCCCACCCACACCGTTACAGCTGCTCCGTGCATTGGGAGCTGTGAGATCCGACCTCGCCGCCATCCCCGAGGGTTATTTTTCAAAGCATGCAGTAATTGCACATTCTAGCAGAACATAAAAATGTCACTTTGCAGCGCGTCCCCCCCCCCACCGCACCCCATCCTCCCTCCTAGCCTTCCCAGCCTCGTCCTTTGCAGGGTAATGAAACACTTCATTCACCAATTGGGAAATGTGCAAATTGGAATGTGTTAAATCCACTTTGCCTTTTTTTTTTTTTTTTTTTTTTAAGGCTGAAAATCGTTTCTTCTCTGACAGCAGGACTCAGGATATCTTTTTTATCCCTTTCCTTTGGGCTACTTGCAGAACCCCCACGCTCTGCACCCACTGGCCCAGTAATGCTTTCCCCTTTGCAGGAGTGGGACTACACCTACGTGCACAGCTTCTACCACTGCGCCCTGGCCATGGCCTTCGTGCTGCTGCTGCCCAAGGAGAACAAGAAGGCTGGGGGGGCTGGCAGCCCTGCCAGGCTCGACTGTTCCACGCTGTGCTGCTGCGTCTGAGCCCCCCGCATGGTGCTTTGCTCCAGAGGATCTTTGCCCACCAGCTCCATACACACCCAGGGCTTTTCTTCTGTGGAATGGTTTGCTCTTTCCACCATCAGCCCCAGCTGATGTGCTTTCACTTTGCTCAGTTCCCCTGGAGAAGCCTTTGCATGGGGTGTGCCCCTGTGCCAGAGAGCTCTGCATCACCCTGTGCGCTCTTGGCCACGTCACCTCCCCCTGTCCCCTCTGCTGGCCTGGGAGGACCAGAGCTTCAGGACCAGTTTGAGCACATAGTTCTCTGTTTGTAACACCCAGAACCTTTTTGTGAGATGTTTGTATTTTTGTGAGATATTTACTATTTTATTTATGCATTCTCTTGATGTAAATAATACTTATTTGCAAAGACTTGGCAAATGTGCAACACCAGCATTTCTCAAGTGGTGCAAATCCCCTCCCTGCTCAATCCTGTCTTGCTCCAGCCCCAAACGCTTTGGGCACAGCCACCCCATCCCCTGCCACACCATTAGCTGCAGCTTTGGGTGCTTTGGCCAGGCCAGCAGGTGTGCTCATAGCAAGCATCCTTAGTATGGGAAGCCCAAGGAAAATGAGAAGGCACAGCAAAGCTCTCGGAGAGGGGGGAGGGCTGTAAGCCTCTAACATCTCCTCTAACAGACTATTTACTATAGTAGAAGTGTATGATTTATTTAGACTGTCTGGGAAATACGCCAAGACTATATGTCATGGACAATTAGAGCAGTATTGATATACAGTGATGTCCACAGAAAGCCCACATTAAGCCTGGGTTCCTCTGGAAGAGAAACCCAGCCCGGTCATTCATCAGAGCCACTTCCTGCAATGGGGCAACGACCAAAGCTGAGCAGCTTTCCAACAAAAACACAAATGAATCACGGAGCCCCGCGTGTCCAGGAGTCACTGGCAAGCTGGTGGCACAACCAACCAGCTGCACACAGAGAAAAGTGTGCCCAAAGGGCTCTGCAGGCACCTCGACCAACAGGACTCGCTGGAGTGCACGCAGCCTCCAGCCCCATCTGCAAGGTGCATGCAATGCTCTGCCTGTCACTTGTTGAGCCATCCTGAGCACATCTGTGCATCCTGAATGCTGCAGGCTGGGGTTCATTGCTTCGCATTCAAACGTTCATCCAGCCTCCCCATCTCTGTGCACATCTTCACCACTGGTGCAGCCATTGACCAGAGGGACTTGAACCCCAAAACACATATGGTGGCTATTTGGCTCTTGCAGGGCAGCAGTGCTGTGAAAGTTCCCCATGGAAGCCCCAGCTGAGCTCACAAGCATGGGGAGAGAGTCGTGCCTGCAAAATGCTTAGGGGAGAGCTGCTGATAAATGCAGTGGGTTATGGTGCCTAAATGCATGTTATAAGAAGGCTGACAGATCCCTTGCAAGCCAGGAGGGCATATGAGCTAAGGTCCAGCTGAGTAAATGAAAGCTCCTGCTCCCACCTGCTGTGTACTCAGGTGTTACACCAAAAAAAAAACCCAAACCAAAACAAAACCAACCATCCAGAAAGGGTATTACACACTGCAAAACAGCAGCGAGGTTTCTCTCTATTCCTTTCTCCCTTTTGTTGCCCTCAGGCTCTGCTCCCACCATCCACCCCCAAACCAGCACCCATCCTGAGAGCTGCACCACAGCCTGGAGCATCCGTGGTGTCCACGGTGGGACCATCATCCACGGGGCGATGCAGGGCTCCCCACACCTGCCTGCAGAGACTGAGCTCGCTATCGCCCGGCCAGGATATCCCATGCACTACAAATGCAAGGAAATATTATAAACATTTACAGCAACGTAGACAAAACAGTCTCTTGTAACCTTTTAGCGCTGCTGAGAGCTTTGCCTGTAAGAGCTCTTGAGCCCCTGCCAAAAATTCTTGCTGTTTTCATAAGACGAGGTGTTTTCGTCTAAGGTGCAGTCTGAGTGCTGTGACCTTTGTCATGTCTGCTACTGAAATTTCCTGCTTCTCTGTTATTCTCTTCTTTGGTAAGACGATATGAAACCCAAAACTTTTATTGCCCCTTTTAAAGCGTCTTTATAGCTCCCCGTCTACTTCATATACTGTGTTATTCTCCAATGCTGGGATATTACTTATGGGATCTAGGCTTGATGCTGCAAAAGGCATTTGGGTTTTGCGGAGCCGAAACCGCCCGGGCTTTTTTACCATCGACCCAAGGGGGAAAAAAGAAAGAAAGAAAAAAAGGAAAAAATGAATGAGAGGGGAGGGACTGTGTTTTCTGCTCCAGCCCAGTATCTGCTGTCAGCACAAGGCAGAGCAGCATCTCACTGCACACCAATGGGCACCCGCATATAGGATGACCCAGTGGTGTCCCTTTGCAGCACTCATGGCCAAAGTGTCCCCATCACCATCCCCTCCTGATGACAGCCACCCCGCACGGCTGGGATGAGGGGATTTAGGACCTGCTGCTGCACGAGGGGCAGCTTCCAGAGATGTGGAGTGGGGCTGAGTGCCAGCTAATCTTCCAGGCAAACCTTATCCAGATCCCTTTGGCTGCAGAAAGCAAAAATCTGGCCAGACCTAAACATAAAAGCTCGATTTCTGCTGCCAGCTGCATGGGGCACTCCAGAAAGCACCTTATCTCCATGGGATTCTGAACGGCAGCTTTCGGCTTTTTCCACTCACTGCTCCCCCTCTCCATGCTGACTCTGTATGCATGTCCAAGCAAGAGGCTCCACTGGCTTAGTGGCGAGCTTGGCTTCATCTTCTGACTAATGCTGTGCCCTGTGGGCCACAGCAAGGCTACCTCGTTTTGGAAAGCACTGCAGCTCCTGCCTGAGCTTGGGCAGCTCCAAGGGAGCTGTGCTGGACAGACCCAGGAGATGCATTCTCCAGGACTTACTCTCAGGGGTTGTCCATAGAAACTCAATTTTTGTGGAAGTTCAGCAGTGGTGATTTGTGTTCAGGGAGCCCAGGGGAGATCTTGCGCTGGGCTCTTCCATCACTCTTCATTCTGTTTTCTTGGAGATGCCTGTGCCCTTAGCAGGGCATGGCTCAGGGGGAGAACCTGTAGTGGCAAAGGCAGCCACCACCCATGTCCTACCCAGCACCAGATCTCCCTGGGACGTGATACAGGAGCACCAGACTGAGAGCAGCCCCATCCACCAACCTGGAGCAAAGGGGAGCAGGGTGGGATCACCCTGGTTGGGTTTACTATGCAAAAACAACCTTCCATGCAGCAGCACTAGACATAGTCAAAGCAGATGCATAATATGTGTAGCAAATAGGTAGCACTACCAGGACATCCATCCCACTTCAGTGCTGGGCGTCCTGCAGGTTTGCAGCCTTCAGCCCCAAATATGAGCACAGAGTCCTTGGAGGGGCAGCTGCAAGCTAGCAGGGCTCTCCTGGCTCCTGCCACGATGCTACAAAACTCTCATCCCAAATCCAGGTTGGGCATCTTTGGCCACCCCACTCCTGCAGCAGAGAGGTCCCTGAGAGCGGCGGTCCAAGGTTTTGGTTTAGGCCAATCTCCCAGAAATTCTGTCATCATGCAGAGCATCACGCACACTGCCGGATCCACATTACAGAAAGGATGGCCCTGAGCCAGCACCTCTTAAAGGCAGTGGAAAAACCCTCCCTTGCTACAATGGGAGTTGGCTCAGCCCTTATATGATCTGACAGATACCACAGAGCAAGAGGAGTTGTTTTAATCTAGGAATATCTCATGGCCCCAAAGCTTCTCCTGCAGACTGACAGGGCAGCGTGTCTGTGGAGCGTGTGCTGCTGGAAGGAGGGCCTTCCAATAAGTGTTGAACTGATGGTCTTTATCTGATCCATGTGCTCTGAAGGCAAGGGAGCCGCTCGGGTTTCCAGCTGTACACATCATCTGATGCTCATAAAAGGAGCTGATGTGTCTGGGAGCCCTAGACCCAAAGAAGCATTCTTGAAATGGGGGAAAGTCAGTGTTACTCAAAAAGCACTGCACAGACAGGCAGGGCAGCTGTGTCTCCACTACCTGTGTTTTTCCAGCAATGGTAAAACTCATGAAGGGTCTTTTTGCCCATAAAAGGGAATCGTGGAATCATAAAATCATAGAATCACAAAGGTTGGAAAAGCCCTCTCAGATCCCCAAGTCCAACCCATCCCACCGTGCCCGCTGCTCACGTTCCTCAGTGCCACATCTCTGCCATCCTGGAAAAGCTTTTCTTGGAGATCGGGGGAAGCTTTACACACACCTCTCCCCTCTCTAAACGCCTTTCTTTGCATTTTTGCTCTTTCAGTAGCCCAGCTCATTGGAACAGAGCAGGAGCTCAGGTCTGCGCTGTGACCAAGGTATCAGGTAGCACCTCCACATCTGGAAGGGATTTTGACACGAGTTCTCCCAGACTCGTTACAGACACTTTAAAAGCAAAATCTGATAAATAGCAAATGTTTAACAAGTCAATAGGAAGCTGTGTTTGCTAGAACATGTGGCCCTCACTGCCCTAGCATTGCCGCATCGCCAGTGCTTTCTGAGCATGCAACCATGCAAGGCTCCAGCCGGACCTGCTCTGCATTACAGTGGGAAGAATTAAAGGCAGATGTATCTTTACACATCCAGATGTGTCCTATAGCCCTCATGCTGCCTTCCTGCCCTGGTGGTGAGGGGGTTTCTTCTGCTGTTACCAGTAAAGTATCTCAACACAACAACTCTTGTAGTGTTGCAACCCTTGCCTGCTTTCGGGCAATAAACAAATGAACTGCCAAAAATGTGGCAACAAGCATTAAAATAGACAGAATTATGCAAGGAGCAGAAGGGGAGACAGAGGAATAAGGAATGACCAGAAAAACCACCAGAAACCCTCCGGGATGCCTGCCTATATTTAAAGATAATGTGTCCAGCCCTCTTGCCAAGTCCCACTCATTTGGAGCTGGGCTCATGTTTTGGATTAATTTTAAGTCAGTTCCTAAAGCATCTCGCTCTCACGAGGAAGAATGTTTGCCTCCTTGGCCAAGGTGACCAGTTATTACAAAATCTCACTCACTATTTTTCAGCCTCTCACTCATTTAACATTGTCATCACCCAGAGCTCCAGGGCAGCGCGGGGGGGGACCACATAGCCCCAAGTCTGTTCACTGGGGACAGGGCTGGGGGGTGTTCCTCTGTCAGTGGGGCTCTTCCCCTCTCCAGTGAGCATCTCTCCATCACACAGAGCAGAAATCACCCCTCCCGGCTACCTGAGGCCCTTCAAAATAGTGGTCAGGTGCTGTAGTGGGCTGCCTGGAAAGGTGGTGGAGTCACCATCTCTGGAGGTGTCCAAGGAGTGTTTAGATGTCTTGAAGGTCTTTTCCAACCTTGGCGATTCAATGATTCCATGTGCCCATCCTGGGTTGGCTGAGGTTTCCATGTAAACCACTCTTCCACTGAAAGGCTTTTTATAACCGAACTACTCTGCTGAGGACACATGCATGTTCTCCCCAATGTGCTTTGCTTTTTTTCTTCGTTTTCTGACCAGAACACTCAACTCCTGAGCCATGCCCCAAACTCACCATGGAGGAAGCAACCAAGTGGTGTCACCTCCCCCCATGTCCATCCAGTCCCAGACACAATCTGGGGACACTTCCTGAGCAGAAACGTGGCAGTGATTCCTGGTGACCTGCTCCCACTTTCTCACCAAAGCATCTGCAGCATCCTAATCACCTTGGAATTCAAAGCACATCCACAGCACTGTCATCAGATGCTTCCCGTTTAGCCCACACGACATGGCTGCAAGATGCTTTGCCACT